TATTGCTATGGATTTTGTGACAGGTCTTCCAAGGTCACGGAGGGGCAATGAAGCCGTATGGGTCATCATTGACAGGTTGACCAAGACGGCTCACTTTTTGCCTATTAAAGCAACAGACGATACAGAGAAGCTTGGTGTACTTTATGTGAAGGAGATTGTAAGGTTACATGGAGTTCTTATAACCATTGTGTCAGATAGGGATGTTAAGTTCACTTCGAAGTTCTGGGAAGGACTTCAAGCAACGTTTGGTTCAGCGTTGCATCTTAGTACGGCATTCCATCCATAGACGGACGGCCAGTCGGAGCGTACTATCCAGATCTTGGAGGATATGCTTCGGGCATGTGTGCTTGACTTGGGTGGCAGTTGGGAAGATCATCTACCGCTTATTGAGTTTACCTACAACAACAGTTATCAAGCGAGTATCCATATTGCTCCATTTGAGGCATTGTATGGTAGACCTTGTAGGTTTCCTGTTTGTTGGACTGAGGTGGGTGAAACCACCGCCTTAGGACCCGACATAGTACTCGAGACTACTGAGAAGATTAAGCTGATCAGACAGAGGTTACTTACAGCTCAGACCCGACAGAAGAGCTATGCAGATAAGCGGAGACGGCCGTTATCTTTTGAGGTGGGAGACCATGTTTTTCTACGGGTCTCTCCACGGAAAGGATTGATGAGATTTGGGAAAAGTGGCAAGTTGTTGCCACGATTCATAGGACCTTTTGAGATTTTGGACCATGTAGGAGAGGTTGCCTACAGACTTGTTTTGCCACCACAGATGGATAGAGTTCACAATGTCTTTCATGTATCGATGCTACGGAAGTACGAGCCGGATCCATCTCATATTTTGAGTTGGATTGATGTGGATATTGATGATGATGTTTCCTTCGAGGAGAGACCAGTTCAGATCCTTGACACACAATAAAAGGTGTTGATGAATAAGACGATACCAATGGTGAAAGTTCTTTGGAGACACCACGGAGTCGAGAAGGCTACTTGGGAACTCGAACAGGAGGTTCGCTCCAAGTACCCAGCGTTGTTTTCTTCCTCAAGTATGTCTTGATTTCGGGGACAAAATCTTTCAAAGTTGGGGAGAGTGTAATGTTTAAGAGATTTTTATATATATGTACATTAGTGAAAGGACCCACAGATTTTTTTTTTTTTTCTTCTAAAGTGGTCATAAAACCACGTTTTTTTTTGTTGCTATGTTATGTCATTCTCTCTCCCGTCTCTGTCTCTCTGTATCTTCCTCTTTGTATTTTTTTTTTTCTTTTGCAACTTCCACTCTTGATTTATTCCTCATTTCTTAGTGTTTTTAAGAGCCGTTTGCGGCTATTCGAAGCCCATGACGAGATCAACACATTGATAAGAGCAATTCCTTGATTGGTGCACTATAGGAGATTCGAAATCCTAGGGTTTGAGGTGAAGAAATTAGGGGTTTTGCTTAAAAGTGAGGTATGGGTCTCTAATACTCAAATTCTTGTTCCTTCGTGAATTTCCCTACCTTAATTGTTGTCAATCATGCTAGATTTGAACTGATAATCTCTTAAATGATTTTAATTGTGTATGTGAAGCATGCTATTATGTGTATTTATTGTTCTACATGGAAAGTATGCCTAATTGTTGATCTTCTATACTTGTTGTGTTCATTAAATTGTTAAAAATTGTTATGAGGAAACATACTAGTTGTGTAACATTAATTTTCCCTTGTTGATCTTCTATGTTTGTTGTGTTCATTAAATTGTTAAAAATTGTTATGAGAAAGCATGCTAGTTGTGTAACATTAATTTTCCCCAAATTTTTATGGTATTAAAAAGACATGTAACATGCATTCAAAGCATGGGCATGAAAAGGGTGAAATGATTTGAAAAAGATGAAAAAGGGATTTTGAGGAGAATTTGATGAAACGGTTTTTGAGAAAAACCCGGTCGCCGCGGAGTCACCAAAGGGGTGGTGTGTTAATATAGCCTAGAGAGAACTAGGGAGATTGCCTTAGCGTGGTTGAGCTATCTGGGTCACAAATAATGCTGCGGAGGTACCAAAGGTCAGGGACAGTAGCCAATCTTTCTCTCATGTCGCTGCAAAGTCACCAAAGGACGGGTTATATTAACAGTTTGTGAAGTAATGATGTTTTTCTGAAAATGGGGAGTGACATGCATAACATTGCATTCATGGCACGAGATTTATTTACTTTGAACTTAGATTTAATATTGTGTTTTCCCCTGCTTTGCATGACCCCAAATTCCTATTGTCCTATTCTCTATTTGGATTCGTGGGGTTTCAAGATGTGCGTCCTAGGCACCACCTACTGAGCAATTTTGCTCACCCCTTTTATTTAATATTTTTCACAATAAATGGGAAAGAAGTGACGGATGACATTCTAACACAGACTTAGTATGGATTAGGAGCTTATTTTGTTGTTTCTGTACTTGGGTCACTCTATTTTTGTAAGACTAAGTATAATGTATTTTGTACGATGACCTATGGACTTTGAATATTATAATTATACCTATAGGCTTGTAAAGTATAGACATTTGATCTTAATCTTGTATTTTGGGACTGCAATTATGATACTTGGATGATATAGTATGTGGTTGTACCACCATGGAATGTATTAGATGTTTATTTTGTTGGGACAGGTTAAAAATGCTTTTAAATAGGTTGTTGTAGGACGATTTTTAGCGGAGGTCATGCCGAATTTTTTTTTAAATTTTGGCATTAATTAGAGTCGTTACATTCATGTTTAAACTAAATTTTTCTTCGATTTCACCGATTTCAATTCTAAGACTTCAATTTTATGCTGTCAAACACAACCTATGGCGTTCGGCTGCATGAAATTAGAGTTTTGAATTTGGATTTGGAATTGATGGAATTAAAAAAAAAAAATTTAGTTCAGTTTTCTAAATTGTTTTTCTCCTATTCCACCAATTTCAATTCCAAAACTCCAATTCCATACAACTTTTTTTTTTTTTTTTTTTCATAATTAATTCTATACAGCTGAACATAGCTTATAAGTTTTTATCTGTTTCCAAAACTCCAAAATTAGTTCTCACAGGCACTTTTACCATTATTTCTGTGGAAAAAAGGGGGGCAACTTTTACCGTCATTGTTATTGTATAGTTTCTTCCTTCTATTTATCCCCCAAAAAAAAAAAAAAAAAAAAAAACAATACAGTTTTTTTCTCTCTAATAATTTTGCTCCATTCACTTGTTTACTACTTTCTAAAATAAACTAATGGTTTGACTTTATTTGCATTTTTTGTAAAACTAATGCTATCTTAGACAAGTAATGCAAGGGGAAGAATATAAATCATGTGCTGTCACAGTCTGGAATTACTTGATAGAATAATATAGGCATCCCCATCAAAGTTTTGGGTGCTAGAACACATAGTGGGACTAAATCAAGTGTATATATATGGTGGCAAGAAATAAAGGTCTCAAATGTATATATATGGTGGCGAATATCGGTATAAACCGGCCGACTGCTTGTACTAGTTCGTCTATAGCCCATTTGATATACTGACATATTATCATGATTCACAGTCGCGGTGTAATAGACTAGGACGAATAGTTGTTATGAATAGTTGCTTAATCAAATGTATATATATATATATATGGTGGCAGAACTGGTATGAAAGGTTAAATGACAATGACAAACATTCTTAAGATTAAGCAACTATTCATAACAAATAATTACACTTATTTCACATATATGACACTTTACAATAGGAAGTGCTTAATGATGTATGTTGCAACTGATATAAGTAATTGTATGTGTGTGTGTGTGTGTGTGTGTGTTTTATTTTCCCAAACTAAACAATCAGTCAATCAACTTGTACTGGCAGCAATTTTCCAGTTTTGCAAATAAACTACTGCTTTGAAATGTGTCTCTGAATTGCTGCTTCCACTCAAGTTGCTAAACTTGATATTACAAACTACCAAATAAATAAATAGCTTTAACTACTGCTACTACTCAAGTTGCTAAATTTGATATTAGAAACTAATTTTACATTTATAGGAATTTAATTTGGATGCTTAATTTATTAAGAAAGATTTATATATATATATATATATATATATATATATATATATATATAACTTTGAAATGTGTCTCTGAACTGCTGCTTCCACTCAAGTTGCTAAACTTGATATTATAAACTACCAAATAAATAAATAGCTTTAACTACTGCTACTACTCAAGTTGCTAAATTTGATATTAGAAACTAATTTTACATCTATAGGAATTTAATTTGGATGCTTAATTTATTAAGAAAGATTTATACATATATATATATATAACTTTGAAATGTGTCTCTGAACTGCTGCTTCCACTCAAGTTGCTAAACTTGATATTATAAACTACCAAATAAATAAATAGCTTTAACTACTGCTACTACTCAAGTTGCTAAATTTGATATTAGAAACTAATTTTATATCTATAGGAATTTAATTTGGATGCTTAATTTATTAAGAAAGATATATATATATATATATATATATATATATATATATATATATATAAATGCATTGTTGCACCCATCTTAATTTTTTTGAGCAAGTGGTATCTTTGACATTGATTGTCTCAGTTTCATTTTTACGTGGGAAGATTCCTCAAATGAGTTGCATTAGTGAGAAAAAGAAATGAAAAGTCACCTGTATTTTTAATTATAAACTCATTTCTACAACTCTTCATAATGGGCCTTAGCACAACGGTAAGGTTGCTCCATTGTGACATGAAGGTCACGGGTTCAAAACAAGAAACAACCTTTCCTAATGTGGAGATAAGGCTACGTAAATCAAACCCTCCCCAAAACCTGCAGTGACGGGTGCCTTTTGCACTCTTCTAGAGCTTTTTTTCATTTCTATGACCCTTTCATACATTCACACACACACAAATATACAGAATACAACAACTGCTTTGTCATCCATAAAAAACCATATAGAGGCAGTCTAATATCCTCTAAAAGTTCAGAAGTAGAAAAAGAACAAATACAGAGAGATATGGCCGGGAATGCTGTCTGCATTCTACTGAATAAACTTGAAAATTGGCTACAGGAAGAAATGAACTTGCCGGCAAAGATTAACATGGGGGTCGAAAGCTTGAGAGGTGAATTCGAAACCATTAGCGCACTTCTGAAGGATGCTGATACCAAAAGAGAGCACAATCACCTAGTCAGTGTCAGGCTTCAAGAAGTTCGAGATGGAGCTTATGACATCGAAGATGTTCTTGACACTTTTACGTTCCACATGGCTCAACAGTCTATTATCCACAGCCTTGAGCTCCTCACCCAATGGAGAGCACGCCACTCCATCAATGAACTAATTGAAGAAATTAACATGAAACTCAAAAGCATCAAAGAGACAAGGGAGAGATATTATAACATGAGTTCCTCCCAAGCCTCAAGTTCAGTTATTGGAAATGACACATACCTTTATCCAAGAATAGCTTCTCTGTTTGCTGAAGACACTGATATTGTGGGGATTGAAAAGCCTAAGCAGAAACTGATTTCTTGGGCACTAGGAGGGAGGCAAAGTCTCCAGGTGGTGTTTGTAGTCGGAATGGGAAGATCAGGCAAAACAACTCTCGTTAAGAAAGTGTACGATAGGGTGAAGGATGATGGATTTGAGGGCCAGGCTTGGATCACTGTTTCAAGGTCAAAAAAGAAACTGGAGCTCTTATGGAGGATGTTCACTGAACTCTACAATCCAACAGTCGAGCCAACTCCCCAGAACCTCTCTTACTTCAACGAGGTTGACCTGACGAACAAACTAAGGGAGCATCTGCAAAACAAAAGGTATGTTGTAGTTTTTGATGATTTGTGGATTAAAGATGTTTCGGAAACCATTAGATATGCATTACCTGGAGGTAATCACAGTAGAATAATTGTCACTACACGAAGGGGCGATATAGCTTGTTCATGTAGAGAGAATTCTATTGATGTTTATAACATCCAGCCTCTTCCTATGGAAAAGGCTAAACAACTCTTCTACAAGAAGGCTTTCCCAGAAAGTGGCATATGTCCTTTCGGGTTGGAGGTCTTGTCCCAAAGATTCTTGACAAAATGCGAAGGATTGCCACTTGCAATCTTTGAAGTCGCTAAAATTCTGTCAAATAGAGAGAAATCTGAATCTGTATGGAAAATATTGCTTGAAAGCCTTGGATCAGAGTTGAGCAGAACTGGCCGCCTTTCAAATACCATGAGAGTACTATCTCTAAGTTACAATGATTTGCCATACCATCTCAAGTATTGTTTTCTATACTTGACCATTTTCCCCGAGGATAATTACCCAGTTAGGTGCAGAGTATTAATTCGGCTGTGGATAGCAGAGGGTTTTATAAGAGCACAAACTGGTAAAGAACTAGAAGATATTGGAGAGGGTACCTAAAAGAACTCACTGACAGGAACTTGATACAAAGTGAATTGGTTTTTGATGGGAGGCCAAAAATTTGTCGCGTACATAATCTCATGCATAAGATTATTCTCTCAAAGTCAAGAGAGGATAATTTTTGCAATGTTTTTTCAGAATCACAAAAAAACTTTGGTGACAGGATCCGTCGATTATCTATCCAAAGCGGTGGACTCAACAAGTTGCATAGGAACTTTAATCGCGTTCGCACACTTTTTAAGTTAGGTGTACCCTACAGCTCCATTCCAGACTTGAAATTATTGAGAGTTCTGCATCTGGAAGGTGCACCATCGGAGACATTTCCAATGGAAATTGTGAATTTACTGCTCTTGAAGTATCTGTGTTTGAGTAAGACCAATATCAAAAGCATTCCCAAGTCTCTCGGGAATCTTGGGTACCTAGAGACCTTGGATCTTAAGCAAACTAGAGTGGTAAAGCTGCCCAAGAAAGTCCTCAAACTCGAGAAACTTCGGCATTTGCTTGTTTATCGCTCTGACATACAACATTATACTACTTTTGATTGTGTTAAAGGATTCGAGGTATCAGCAGAGATCCAGACACCTAACTTACAAAAGCTATCATTCATTAAGGCAAATAGGCATCACAAAGTGATTCAAGGGCTAGGAAATCTGACACAACTAAGAAAGTTGGGGATCATTGATCTTCCAAGAGAAGATGGGTCAAAATTGTGCAAGTCAATTGAACAGCTGCGAAGCATCCAATCCTTGAATGTAACATCATTAAAAAAGGATGAAGTTGTAGATCTACAAGCAATCACCAATCCTCCAGCATATCTTTGACGCCTGTATCTGAAAGGACGATTAGAAAGGTTACCAATTTGGATTTCCAGACTTCATGACCTGGTAAGGATATGTCTTAAGTGGTCCAAGTTAACACACTACAATAACCTCATTGATATCCTTCAAGATCTTCCTACTCCGTTGGAGCTCCAGCTGCTCGATGCCTATACTGGAAACCAGTTGGATTTCAATGCCAGAAAATTCCAAACTCTTAAGATCTTGGAACTTGAGCAATTGGAACCACTGAGAATGGTCGTGATGGAAAATACTAGCTTACCTCGTCTCCAAAAGCTGATCAGAAGGCAGTGCAGCAACTTGCAGCAGTTTCCAGTGGGCATTGATAACCTCGCTCGCCTCAATGAGCTTCACTTGTATGATATGCCCAACAGATTTGTGGCCCCGCTCAAGAATGGTGGAACATTGAGTCATCTGGTTCGCCATATCCCAAAAATCCAATGATATTACCTCGCGAGGAATTGGGTGCCAGAAGATCTCAATCTCATGGCTAATCCTATTTGATTCATAGTCCGACTCTACGATGGGAGCACATACCCACAGTAATCAGGTCAGCATAACCACAATCTGGTTAGGTACCTCGAAATTCCAACATTGTTGCTTCATTAAAATAAGGTTTATTGAATTATGAAGTAAATTTTTATAGGAAACTAAAATCTGAAACACTTCTAATATATGTTTTAATAATTTTTATAGGAAACCACAATCTGAAACACTTCTAATATCTGTTTTAATATTGCTTATGAAATTTGACAGGGTAAGGATTCATGCAATGGTTGTTTATATATCAAAGTAAGTCTTATCCTCTTCACACATTCTGTGTTTTAGTCTGATTAACCAATTTTATTCCACAGGGTGTAGTGAGAAAAAAGCAAAAGGTAGGTATTCACTATTGTAGATGATGTGATCTATTTTTATTCAGACTACTGATGAGTTGCGTATTAATCATGCTAGCAGATTGAGGCTGAGATGGGTGTGATGCGCGTTCAAATAACTGAGATGATGCCAATTAATCAGAAAACAGAGACAACAGACAAATCAAAAGTTGTGGCACCATTCAATGATGTAGAAGATCTAGCTCATATATATTACATAGTATTTCATTGTTGGACTTCTTAAATTTGTTGTATTTGAGTTACGGAGTACTGTAATTGATTCAGGTTTGGAGTCTTCTTTCTTCTTTGGTAAGCGGTTTTAAGTCATCTTTCATGTAAACTGTTTGTTCATTTTGGATGATACATTGATCGAAGTTATTTTTATCAAAAGCATAATTATATGTTTTTTAATGGATTTTATTATCCTAGTTCATTTACTTCGTTATTCGTTTAAGTATAGAGATAGCAGAACATAGATTTTAAAACTTCTGTATTACTAATAGTGGCGAGTCTGGTGACCCTTTTAAAGGCTTAAAAAATAGTTTTCAGAGAAGTTTATCATTTTGGTGGTGAGCTTTTACCATTAAAAAAAATGGTTTCTAGATATGCCATTGTCTTAGTGTAACTTTTTGAGCATCCCGATTTGGGCAAATTTTTATAATGTTCCATTGGAACTTTGGACGGAAGTTGGCGTTAGTTTCCCTGTCCTGCTAACTAATCGGCAACCGATTGTTTCTTGATGAGCCTACTTATTTAAAAGCTAGACTCACTTATGCTAGCAATTGGATGGGGATCAATGCTTCTAATGACATTCAAAACTCTATTAAGCTTGATCTCACATATGATGATCCGTATGAGAATAGGGTGGAGGTCCCATGGAAACCTCAAAGATGTGTAGATTGTAATTCTTTTGGTCATTCTACCAATCTTGCCCTTCTAAATTCCACTACTAAATTACTAAGCCTAAACAAGAACATACAATGGAGAATTTGGCTCCTAAATTTAGCCTAAATGAATGGGAGATGTTAGAAAGAAAATGGGAAAGACGTTGTGGCTCCTCCTAATGAGGAATTTAGAAATTGTAGCCCTCAAAAGGATACTCCTGTTATTTCAATGCCAAACACATTTGGATCACTTTCTTCTTTTTTAGGTGTGTTCAGTCATAAATACTAAAGAATTAGATCATGGTTGCACAGCCTTCAAGAGTTTGTGCACCTATTAATGGTAAGGTCTAATAAGTGCCAAGAGTGGCTTTCTGCTCAAGTTTTATGCCTTACACCTAAGGTTTTGCATGAGATATCAAGCTTGTTGAGGAGGAGCTCTAAGAGAAACCTCAAGCTCTGGATGTTCCTCAAGAGGGGACTCTCTCTCTCTCTCTCTCTCTCTAATATACCATGGAAGATCTCGTCAAAGCCTTCTAGCACTTCCAAGCATCACCCTTCACTATTACCCAGCAAATGCCTCGCTCTCTTCATTATCATCATCCTCTGTCTTTCTCACATTCAGCCCTTGGACCTCCACAACTCTCATTTTACTTCATTTGGTCCAAGAATTTCTCTATATTTTTGCCAAAACTTCCATGGGTTTTGATTAACCTAGTAAGGAATTATAAGGAGTTTCTTTATCATACCTGTTTTTGATGTTGTATATGTTTATACTATAAGGGGCAAACTATACTTGTGTTTTTGCATAAAAAAAAATGTGTATATTTGTTTTACTTGATATGTACAAATTTTAAAAAATGATTTTATTATAGTTAATAATCAATTTTGCTTTCTGAAAGCTACGGGTGTTTTGCTTGAATTAACAGGACAATTAATTTTTTTGAAATTTCATAGCTTTTTTTGAAGTAATATTATAATATCATTCATTTTTGTGTATTTCAGTAGTCATTGATCTTCAATTGGCTTTTAATTGTTGCATAAACTTATTCATTTTTCTAAAAGATCTTATTTCAAAATTTTCTAAACTTATTGGTTTTTATAGGTGTTTTACTATATTACTGATATATACACACACACACAACACACACATAAATGTGAACAAAACAAATAAGAAACCAAAAATTTCAAAAGAGATTCAAAACAAATCTAAAACAAACTGTAGAAATGGAACAGACACAAAAATTTTAATTAAAAATCCAACAATATCAAAACTAACCTTGTAAAAGGTCTTGCCATGGAACGTTGAGCAGCTATTAGGGCTTCGGCTTCGTCAATTAATCATCGACAGAGAATGCGCGAGCGCATATATATACATATGACTTTCTATCATGCCTCATGCTTAGACGAACTTGTTGATTGCACAAGCAAATAAATTGAAGAATTGAATGATCCAGAGACCAAATTACTAGATATATGATCAATAGCTTCAAAATTTCAGAATTCGCCTTTTACTATAGAATAAGGGGACATTAAAAATCTCATTAATTTTTTCAATAATTGATAAGGGAATGTAAGACAAGAGAAATGCATTTTGGTCGCCATTTGGCATTTGTATTCGCGAGGCATAATTGTGTAGTGTCTAAAAAGTTTAATCAGAATAGGAACCATTTAATAATTGTATCATAAATCTTCAATTTTTTTTTTATTTTAAGACAATAAATGTTAGAAGTTAAATTGATAAATGTAGAGAGTCGAAGTCTGGCACTTCATAGGAGGCTCTAACCCACTAGGCAAGACATCTACATGAACTCTCAATACTAACCCAACGTGTTTATTAAACGGATTACACGTGTAACCCGTTTAATGACCTATTTATTAAAATAAAATATTATATTATTTAAATTATTAATAATACTCAATTAAGCAATAAATAATAAAAAAATATAAGTTTAAATCCAACTAAAGTACGAAATAATCTCTAATCTAAAAAGAATAAATTATAAGATACAAGTTTAGATAGTTACTTTAGAATTTAAATAGAAATTTATTTATGACATGTATAGTTAAAAGGGTTGAATCCTCAACTCGAAAACGATACGTTTAACAAAACGAGTTAATTGTGTCGACCCGTTTACGACCCAAATCCGTTCAAGGTCAATCCAAACCCGTTTAACTTGTGTCGTGTTCGAGTCATGTTGGGGGGTCGTATCAAACTTTGCCACTCCAGGTCGAGTTATGATCCGGTTAGCAACCTCGGCATGACTCATAATACGTAGTTACGATAAAATGACCATTTTACCTTTATGTGTGCTCGGCTTGGATTAGAACCCGGTTAGCGATCCGGATCCTCCAATTTTGGATCGTTACATGGTAAGTATTAATTATTGGGCCGATTTTGATGGGGTTTTTACATTGTAAATTGACAAAAACGAAGATGATATATTTGTCATGTTGGTTGAAAAAAAATATTATTTTATGATGTTCAATTTGTCTCCCTGAAACAAAATCCTGCTTCATCCTTGGCTCCCTGAGTAGGCAATAACTTTTTTTTGGAGTATGCTTCTCTCTCGCAAAATAGTTTTCTACTTTCTAAGAATTAGAAATCAGATATTGTACAAAAACCTACTGGTTGAATATTTTTAAATACTTTAGTAAAAAAAAATATATGTTTTCAGAAAAATATTTTTTAAAAAACTATGGATTTAGAGATTAAATAATTTGGTATTCATTCCTTATATTTCCCTTTAAATAACAGAGCATTATAATAATGTGTAAAAAACAAATAAAATAGTAATTACGAGTAACTGATTGAAAAGTAAGCTCCAAGTTTTTCATGATATTAACTTTTGAATCTAGACATCACTTACAATGTTCTAACTAATTCATGAGAACAGTAAATACTAATCATTTCTTTTACTTGATTAATTGTGTAAAATTTCAATAGAATTGATTAAATCTCAAAACTCCAAAGCAGTAAAATTTAGTGAGCCAGGGATATTTTTCAGAATGAAATAAAATGTCAGTCAATAGGAAAAAGCTACTCCAAAGTGGGTGCAACATTCCACTTCTCAATGTGGAGTGGAAAGTGATGTTATTTTCTTAATTACCAGAATAGCCCTGAGGTTGGGAAGAGGTTATGTTCCCTGTAACTTCCTCCACAATCAGACCTCAAGGCTCAATCCCAACATATACAAATACCCATACAAAATGTATATACAGAGGAATGAAGGTCCATCGAATTTGATGAAGCAAGGGAGTGATGAATCTGTCCCGTTGATTTACGAGTTGCGACACTTGAGATTGATAGTCTCATGATTTCGATTTTTGAACTTCTATCACCATTTATGGACTTGATCAATCATAACCAATTATACGCCCCCAATAATTAAACCCTAATAATTTTCTGGAGGCAACTGAAAATGGTCAACTTTTGGTCGAGCATGTTTATTAATTTATCGCTTTTTTTATCACTATTTATTTATTGCATTTTATTTTGAATTTATATTAACAAAACAATTCAAAATTAGAAGAAAAAAAAATAAAAAGAAAATTTGATATCATTAAATAATAATGGGGACAAATCAACTGCAAACAAATCAGTCAAATATGATTATCAGGGGCCAGTTTGGGCAGGCATTGTTGTTATTTACTGTTTTCATTTTTAAATGAAGAAAAAAGAAAAAAAAAAACATTTAGTTGTGATATTTGTTGGATCGACCGTGTTTAGTAATGTAAAATTTGTTACATAAATTTTAGAAGTAAAAATAAAAAAATATATTTGATAACATCAAAAGTGTTGCACCATATTTGAAAACAAAACATTTAAGAAAATATATTTGATATTATGCAAGTGTTGTTAAAAAAAAAAAAAATTGGTTGCAAAAATAAAAATAATGTTTGGTAATGACTGTTTCCAATGATATTACCAAGGTATTGACACTCACTCAAGACAAAAAGTTTAAATACAACTAAAAATAAGCTTAAACTGATGGGATATTGTTTGGTTCCATTAGCTATATTTAAGCATTCTTTTACGTTGACATTTATGATTAGTCTGATAACACGTGTCAATTATTTTTAAATATATTTTATTAAGAATAATTATCTTTAAAATAATTATCTTTTTAATGAAATTAAATCTAATTGTATGACTGAAATACCCTCCAACTTCAGTTTTCCATTTTAGCACTCCACTCTGCCGTATATTCAACAAAGAAAACTATACAATTTATCCATCAAAGTGGTGGCTGTTGGATAATTGGGGGTGCTTTTCAAGAATAATTACATCATTTCATATTTTTTTAAAATGTAATGCAAAAGAGATAAGGATCACAAAATTTACTCTTTAATGTTTATTCATATGATTTTCATGTACTTAATGATCGAAAATTTAGATTTCTTGTACTTCTTAATTGCATCATATAGAACTAACTTTAGCAAACAGATTAATTGGCTGATTTGCCTTGGCCTTGTTGTGAACTTTGTTGCAGTTAAAAATTAAAGAAAAAAGAAAAAAAAAAAAAAATGCGGTGACCTTTCAAAAAAAAAAAAAAAAAGTATCTTTATGTCAAATCCACTTCAATACTTCTTTATCATGCACCGACTTCTACTCTCCTTCTACGCTCCTTCCTTTGTTGACTCCAATTACAGTGTTCAATTTAAAGTTCTCATTTGAAGCTAAACAAATTAAAATTATATATATATATATATAAATACACACATATATATATATATATCTATATCTTGTGTGTGTTTTGGCATCTCTAATCATTGGGTAACAAAATTATATTTTTTCCAAGTTAGATGCATAAAATTACCAAGGCTATGAGGAATTTTTTTTTTTTTTGATGACATATGGCATCTACAGGCAAAAACATAAGCCATGGATATGGAACCAAAAACACATTTACACTAACAGTTACAGAACAAATCAAACTTAACTAACACCCCTCATGATTTAAATCACTATCTTAACAAATTAGAAAAAAAGTATCAGTGACAGTGAAATTAGCACCAGTAAAGAAAGAAATATGTATCGCCATACACCTCCCCCAGATAAATGCACCGCCAAACACAACTACCAAAGAAATTGGGGGACATAGAAATCAATAGAAGACGACCGAAGAGGATCTAAAACCAGAAGCGTATCCACTACGCCAACCCATCGAAATCACACAGGTCATAAGCACTCTTGCAAAGGAAAACTGCAATTCAGTAAAACGCACACCTCAAGAGAAGAGTTGCATCACCGCCTTAGAAAATTATTTAAGGAAGTCAAGGGAAGGACCCCACAGCAAGCAAGGAATAGAAGCAAAAAAAGCTTGGGACCAGAAGCGTATCCCCAAGCTTTTTTTAAAAAAAAAAAAAGAAAAGAAAAAGATTAAAAAAAAAAAAAGCACTAAGGCTCTGAGCTAGGGTAACTTCTTTTCTTTCAATCCCCACCAAGATCCATGCGGGAGTTCTTTGCCCCATAAAAAATAAAATAAAATAAAATAATTGATGCATAAAATAGTTGATAGTATTTATTAGTTGAATCTGTTGAATTTACTGGATAGTAAATTAAATAATTACACTCTTCCAGTTGATTAACTATAGGAAGTTAGGGATCATAGAATATACAATTCAAATTGCTAAATAGAAGAAATATTCTGCTTTAGTTGACAATCAAGAGAGGCAAACATCTTCCATTTAAACATTTATGGCATGATACAAAACATCAAAATTTGAAAAAATAAAACATAAACATAGTAAGAAAAAGGTCAAAGAAAAAGAGGCAAATGATTGGTCACTGATACTTTACTTCACTTTCACCATTATTGTCTTTGTATAGTTTCTTCTCTCTAACAACTTTGCTCCATTCACTTGTTTATTACGGTAAGAAATATATATAATACAATTGGAGAAATATATATATATAATACAATTGGAGAAATATATATCATGGATGGTCAGATTCTGGAATTACTTCATAGAATAAAATAGGTATTTTCATCAATTAATTGTGTCGTTTACGATCCAAAATAGGCATTCCTAGATTAAGCAAATATTAGAAAAAAATAATAACACTTATTTCACTAATACGACACTTTCCAATAGGATGTGTTTAATGAGAAGCATACAAGAGTCAAAAGACTAAAAAAGAATAATGTAAAAAAAACGATGTATGGTGTAACTATAGTACTTGTATGCCTGTATATATGTATTAATTTTTTTTACTTTTACCCAACTGAAGACTCAGTCAGTGAAAGTGTACCGTCAACAGTGTCTATGGCCCTTTCATGCATTCACACACACACACACACACACAAAAAATAGAAGAATACAAATGCTTTGTCATTCATACCAAAAAAAACCATGGAGAGGCAATCTTGTATAATCTAAAAGTTCAGAGGTAGAAAATAACACACAACACAGAGAGAGAGATATGGCTGCGGAGGCTGTCTACTTTCTACTCAATAAACTTGAAATTTGGCTAGAGGCAGAATGGAACTTGCCAGCAAAGATTAATATGGGCGTTGAAAGCTTGAGAGGTGAATTCGAAACCATTAGCGCACTTCTGAAGGATGCTGATACAAAAAGAGAGCACAATCACCAAGTCAGTGTCTGGCTTCAACAAGTCCGAGATGGAGCTTATGACATAGAGGATGTTCTTGACATTTTAAAGTTTCACATGGCTCAACAGTATATTATCCGCAACCTTGGGTTCCTCACCCGATGGAGAGCACGCCACTCCATCAACGAAGTAATTGAAGAGATTGATATGAAACTCAGAAGCATCAAAGAGTCAAGGGAGAGATATCATAACATCAGTTCCTCCCAAACCTCAAGTTCAATTACTCGAAACGACACATTCCTTCATCCAAGAATAGCTTCTCTGTTTGCCGAGGACACTGATATTGTGGGGATTGAAGAACCTAAGCAGAAACTGGTTTCTTGGGCACTAGGAGGGAGGCATAGTCTCGAGGTGATGTTTGTAGTTGGGATGGGAGGATCGGGCAAAACAACTCTTGTTAAGAAAGTGTTCGAGAGGGTGAAGGATGAAGGATTTGAGTGCCATGCTTGGATCACTGTTTCAAGGTCAAGAAAGGAACCGGAGATCTTATGGAGGATGTTCAACGAATTCTGCATTCAAACAGTCGAGTCAACTCCCCAGAGGTTCTCCAACATCAACGAGATTGACCTGGTTGACATAACCAAAAAACTAAGGGAGCATCTACAAAACAAAAGGTACGTTGTAGTCCTTGATGATCTGTGGATTAAAGATGTTTGGGAAACCATTAGAATTGCATTACCTGGAGGTAATCACAGTAGAATAATTGTCACTACGCGAAGAGGCGATATAGCTTGTTCATGTAGAGATAACTCTATTGGTGTCCATAACATCCAGCCTCTTCCTATGGAAAAGGCTCAACAACTCTTTTATAAGAAGGCTTTCCCAGAAAGGGGTACATGCCCTTTAGGGTTGGAGGGCTGGTCCCAAATAATCTTAACAAAATGCGAAGGATTGCCACTTGCAATCATTGAACTAGGTCAAATTCTGTCAAATAGAGAGAAATCTGAATCAGTATGGAAAAGATTGCTTGAAAGCCTTGGATCGGAGTTGAGCAGAAATGGCCGTCTTTCAAATACCATGAGAGTACTATCTCTAAGTTACATTGACTTGCCATACCATCTCAAGTATTGTTTTCTATACTTAACCATTTTCCCTGAGAATAATTATCTAGTTAGGTGTAGAGTATTGATTCGGCTGTGGATTGCAGAGGGTTTTATAATAGCACAAACTGGCAAAGAACTTGAAGACATTGGAGAGGAGTACCTAAAAGAACTTACCGACAGGAACTTGATACAAAGTGAATTAGATTTTGATGGGAAGCCAAAAACTTGTCGGGTACATAATCTCATGCATAAGATTATTCTCTCAAAGTCAAGAGAGGAGAATTTTTGTAAAGTATTTTCAGAATCACAAAGAAACTTTGGTGACAGGTACCGTCGATTATCTATCCAAAGTGGTGCACTCAAAATGTTGCATAGGAACTTTAATCGTGTTCGCACCCTTTTTATGTTCAATGTACCCTACAGCTCCGTTACAGACTTGAAATTATTGAGAGTTCTTCATCTGGAAGGAGCACCATTGGAGACATTTCCTAAGAAAATTGTGAATTTACTGCTCTTGAAGTATCTGTGTTTGAGTAAGACCAATATCAAAAGCATTCCCAAGTCTCTGGGGAATCTTAGGTACTTAGAGACCTTGGATCTTAAGCAAACTAGAGTGGTAAAGCTGCCCAAAGAAGTCCTCAAACTTGAGAAACTTCGGCATTTGATTGTTTGTCGCTATGATATACAACATTATACCACTTTTGATTGTGTTAAAGGATTCGAGGTATCAGCAGAGATCCAGACACCTAATTTACAGCAACTATCATTCATAAAGGCAAATAAGCATCACAAAGTGATTCACGGGCTAGGAAATCTGACACAACTAAGAAAGTTGGGGGTCATTGATCTTCCAAGAGAAGATGGGTCAAAATTGTGCGAGTCAATTGAGCAGCTGCGAAACCTCTATTCCTTGAATGTAACATCATTACAAAAGGATGAGGCTGTAGATCTACAAGCAATTACCAATCCTCCACCACTTCTTCAACGCCTGTATCTGAAAGGGCGGTTAGAAAGGTTACCAATTTGGATTTCCAGACTTCATGACCTCGTAAGGATACATCTCAAGTGGTCCAAGTTAACACACTACAACAACCCCATTGATATCCTTCAAGATCTTCCTCGCCTTTTGGAGCTCCAGCTGGTCGATGCCTATACTGGAAACCAGTTAGATTTCTCAAAAAACAAATTTCAAAGTCTGAAGATCTTGGAACTTGAGCAATTGGAACCATTGACAATGGTCAAAATGCAAAAGACTACCTTACCTCGTCTCCAAAAGCTGATCATAAGGCAGTGCGGTAACTTGCATCAGGTTCCATTGGGAATTGACAACCTCACTCACCTCAAAGAGCTTCACTTGTATGATATGCCCAACAGATTTGTGGCCCAGCTCAAGAATGGTGGAGCATTGTGTAATCTGGTTCGCCATATCCCAAACATCCAATGTTATTACCTCGAGAGGAATTGGGTGCCAGAAGATCTCAATCTCATGGCTCATCCTATCTGATTCGTAGTCCGAGTCTACAGTGGGAGCACGTACACAGTGATCAGGTCAGCATAACCACAATCCAGTTAGGTACCTTGTAATTCCATCATCGTTTCTTCATTAATATAAAATGTGTTGAATTATGAAGTAGTTTTTATAGAAGAGTACAATCGAAACATTTTAAATATCTGTTTTAATATTGCTTATGAAATTTGACAGGGTAAGGATTCACGCAATGGTGGTTTTTATATCAAAGTACGTTTTATCCGCTTCACACACTCGGTGCTTAGTTTGATTAACCAAATTTATTCCACAGGGTGAGAAAAATGCAAAAGGCAGGTATTCTCCATTGTAGATGATGGATGTGATGCATTTTCATATAACCGAGATGATGCCAATAAATCAGAAACAGAGACAACAGACAAATGAAAAGTTGTGGCACCACTCAATGATGTATAAGATCTAGCTAATAACAATTAAATGATATTTCATTGTTGAACTTCTTAAATTTATTGTATTTGGATTACGGACGACTGTAATTGATTTGGGTTTGGAGTCCTCTGTCTTCTTTGAATAGAGGTTTGGAGTCATTTTTGGTGTAAACTGATTGTTCACTTTGGATGATTCATTAATCAAAGTTATTTTTCATCAAAAGCATAGTTATATGTTCTTGTGGAATTTATTATCTTAGTTCAGTTACTTCATTATTCGCTTAAAGTATAGAGATAGCAGTACATAGAACTTAAATTTTCTGTATTACTAAGATGGGTAACCCTTTTAAAGGCAAAAAGATGATTTCCAACGAAGTTTATTATTTTGGTGGTGAGCTTATATCATTAAAAAAAATGGTTTCTAGCTATGCCATTGTCTGGTGTAACTTTTTGTGCATCCTGATTTGGGGAAATTTTTTATAATGTTCCATTGGAAATTTGGAAGGAAGTTGGCGTTAGTTATCCTGCTAACATGTTTCAAGGCAAGACAAACTCATGCTAGAAATTTAAGCTGTTCCATTGGAACTTTGGTCGCTTGTAAAGACATTCAAAAATCTATTAAGCTCCATCTCACGTATGATGATCCTCATGAGAATAGAGTGGAGGTTCCATGGAAACCTCGAAGATGTGTAGATTTAAATTCTTTTGGTCATTCTACCCAATCTTATCCTTCTAAATCCCACTACTTAGCCTAAACAAGAATAGAGAATGAAGGAGAATTTGTTTCGTAAATCTAGCCCCATTAAATGGTAGCCTGTTAGAAAGAAAACGGGAAAGATGTTGGGTCTCCTCCTAATGACGAAAATAGAAATTATAGCCCTAAAAAAGGATGCCTTGTTACTTCATTGCCAAACATATTTGGATCTCTTTCTTCTTTCTTACGTTTGTTTAGTCATAAATCCTAAAGAATTAGATCCATGGTTGCATAGCCTTCAAGATTGTGTGCACCTAATAGGACTCTTCCGACATGGCCAAGAGATGCTGCTCAAGTTCTATGCCTTACACCTAAGACTTTGCAAGATATATTCAGCAATGGATGCTATTCAAGAAGGGACTTCCCTAACTCATTGCCTCTCTAGTCTCTACCAGGGATCCCTTTGGAGATAAAGTAAAAAAACAAGGCCTTCAGACTTCAGTACGCTGCAAACTAGGGGTGGCAAATGGGTGGGTTGAGCCGAGTTTGGGTTGGATTGAAAATGGGTAGGTTAAACATGGTTCAAGACTCATATTCAATACGTTCAAAATGTTTTGAAAATGGGCGCGTAAAAAATATATAGAGTTAACCCGTTATGACCCATGAACCCATTAATTATTATTAATTTTTTTCTGAAAGGTTTTAAAATTTTATTTAATAACAAAAAAAAAAAAAAAAAAATCTCAAACTCATCAATATTTATCGACTCGTTTTACAGATAGAGAAATGAAGGAAAGAGAAGAAATATTGATGTTTACAAATATGGGAAAAAAAAATGTAATTTGCATATTTAAAAAATAAAAATAAAAAATTGACCCGTGAAACCCAACCGACACGCCCAAAATATTGATGTTAATAAAAAATTTTAAAAAAATTTGATATTTACAAACATGGAAAAGAAAAATGTAATTTGTATATTTGTAAAAAATAAAATATAAAAAATTTACTCGTGAAACCCACCCGACCCACCTAAAATTTTGATGTTTAAAAAATTAAATTTTATGAAAATTTTTGATGTTTACAAATATGGAAAATGAAAATGTAATTTGTATATTTGTAAATATATATTTATATATATATTGACCAGCGAAACCCGCCCGACCCGCACAAAATATTGATCTTTCAAAAATAAAATTTTCTTAAAAATTTTGATGTTTACAAACATAGAAAAAGAAAATGTAATTTGCATATTTGAAAAAAAAACAAAAATTTGACTCATAAAACCTGACCGACCCGCCCAAAATATTGATGTTTAAAAAATAAAATTTTCTTTAAAATTTTGATGTTTGCAAACTTTGAAAAGGAAAATTTAATTTGTATAGTTGTAAAAAAAATAAAAAATAAAAAAATTGACCCATGAAACCCAACCGACCCGCCCAAAATATTGATGTTTTAAAAATAAAATTTTATTTAAAATTTTGATATTTACAAACATGGAAAATGTAATACTTTTGAATTTCGTCATTTTCCATTTTTTCGAAAATTTTGTCGTTACAAGGGCATTTTCGTCTTTTCCTATTTTGTGTACCAGACACCGTGAAGTGTGCCGGCTGTGTCCGTAAGTTAGTTTGGGGCATTTCATTGAGTTCAGAACTCTTTGAAATACAAGGGTGACCATTTTGGCATATTTCTATTTTTCAGGTCGGAGGGTCCCGTGTAGGACCTGCTACCGGAATTATCGTGTACGAGGGTGTTGGTTGAGCCCATTTGCATCTCATATATTTTATTTGATGTGTTTTATATGGATATGATTTAATATGTGTATATATATATATATAATTGTGGTGTAAAATAAAAGAATAAAAAGAAAATTTTAATTAAAAAGTGGTGAGACCCACCACCACCATTTTTATGGCTTAGAGACCATGTAACGACCCGAACCTGAGGGTCCAAATCGCTAACTGGGTCCTTACTCAAACCCGAGGTCAACTAAGAGTACTACCACCTTTTCTTATATCAATACATAATATACGTGTCATCCTAAGCTTTATAATTAATAATGATAATAATAATAATAATAAAATGAGATCATGGTTACAAAATATGTCAAATAGTCCACTAACCCATCAAAACCTATGGAGGAACGTCGTCCGCTACCTCCTTCTCGTGACATGAAAAATGTTAAAATGATGGGGTGAGCATAAGCTCAGTAGGAAGTGTCTAAGACATACCTCTTATGACCCCGTGAATCCACATATAGGATAGAAAACAAGAGAACGTGATTATACTATATCGGGGATATAAACCATAACCACAACATCCATTATAAACACAAATGTCATCCAAGTTGCAAATACACTATGTATGCCAATGAAGTGCAATGCCATGCTCATGTCGCTCCCTATTTCTGAAACATTTATGTTTCAACTTTCAAATCGTTAGTGTAATTCGACCTAAGGCACCTCTATGGCATCACGAGAGGAGGATTAGCTAACTGTCTACGACCACAAGGCACCTCCAAGGCATCGCATCCGGCTAAGCTGGCTTAACCATACTCTCCTCTAGACTACACTAACACCACGGACCACTAGGTGCCTCCTAGGTGTCCGGTTTTCGCAAACACTTTTCAAAACATTTTTCCAAAATCATTTCATTTGCTTTCAAAACATTTTTCCCATTTTCCTTTCCCAATGGATGCATGAATGCTTCATGCACCTAATCGTGAATTCAACCATAGAATTTCACATATGCTTTGCAAATTAAATCTCTAAAATAGGTAATTCATGTTTCCCTTCAACATTATTTTAGCATACCGAGCATACAAAGCATAATTCATTTCACATAAGCATGCTATTACACAATTCCATACAAGTCATGTGTTCACAATATAGCAAGCTTTGTAGGAAATTTCTAATAATAACTAACATGTCTCTATATTGTAAATTTAGCAATTCTAACACAATAGGCATAGAAATTCACCACTTAAACATGCTTTCTCATACAACATCAATTAATTCACATAAATTACATGCTTTAATTCAAAAGAAAAATTTTAGAAATATATCCCATGCTTTCTAATCACAAAATTCATCACTTATAACACAATAGGCATGAAAACATCATCATTTAAACATATTTCTTCATCATATATCAACTTAGCATGTAAATACGTCTCATATACAACACATAGCAAAGTTTGCATGAAATATACTCAATTTAATCATGTAATAATACAAATTATAAGGAATTGACTCACAAAATCCAAGAGGTTATGGATTAGAAACCCTTACCTCAAGAATTGCAAAACCCCCCAATTTTGTGCCCTAGATTTCGAAATTCCAAAGTGTACCAAATGAAGAATTGCTCCGATCAAATCGTAGATCTCGATGTGCTCTTCGTTTTGCCACAAACGGCTCCTAAAAATACCAAAAATTAAGGGAGAAATCTAGGATTGAATCTTGTAAAAAAAAAAAAAAAAGAATAGAGGGGAAGGCAGTGAGCTACGGGAGAGAGAGAATGGTGAGGCCCAAATGTGGCCTCTTTGCCACTTATATGTAAAGTGGTGGGTCCCACCACTTTTTACTTAAAACTTTTTTTTTCCACCACACACAAATACACATGCACATAAATTACAAACATTACAATCTACCCTCCTTAAAGAAGAAGGTCCACAACCATACACCTTCTCGAGAAACACCTCACCAAACCGTAGAGCTAAGAACTCAACAACCTTGTTGCCTTTAACACCCGATGCCAATAGACAATCACACCCTATCGTCAGAAAAACCCAATGCTCACCACCCTATGAGGGTACTCACAACATCACCCACAACATCATACACAAAACCTGTTAGATTATGCACTCAACTTAAAACCAACACTGACACAAGGCTTCGGAGTCGAAAGAAAAATGGTCACAAGACCCCTAAACATGACAATATCCTATCTCAGCCCATCCTTTAAAGGATACACAAAATCCCAAACAAGGAACCCCATTCATTACACAATCAAGCTCAAACTCAATCTACACGTCCCTATCAGACCAAGCACTCGCCACTTAACACACAGTTACACCACCACATATCGGTACAAGCAACCACCAACCGCACCATTCGGCAATCATTATACTTAACAACCTCAAGATAGCTAAATAATAAATCTCCCAACAACTATACAATCATGAGTCACCAATCAATAAAACGTACTATCCTGTACCTAGGACTTAAATCCACAAAACAAGATCTTCAATAATCAGTGATTGTACCACAAACCCCTTTGTCGGACACTTGGTCTTACCTAGTACACCTTGTTACCTAAGACAACCACCTGAATCCACACTGTCTCACCGACTCAACCAGCGATATCGTACTCTCACTATTCTTGGCAAACCAAAACAATTATGGACCTTTGACCTGACATTGTGCTAAAAAGGGATTGATTCAGGAGAAATGATTGGCCAGGCCATTCTCATCCTTGATCCGGTCTCAACACAGATATCATCCTTGTCTTTAGGTCTAAACCTCAAACAC